AAATAGCAAAGGAGCAAATAGCAAAAAAGTGCCAATTAGCTCGAATGCATATTCCCTGCGGCTTTTGCTGTTGTGCTAGTCTGTAAAAACGCTATGGCTGATATACAGAAGAGTAAAGTAGTAAAATTCACTTTACAAATACGCAAATTTGCCGTTTTGTATAACAGAAACTGCTCGAATGAATATCGTTTGCTTGTTTATATTTCAGAAGGTTGCTGCAATGTATAAAAGTTGCCGCTATGTGAAGCTCTACTATGTAACAAAATTTAGCAGTTTTGCTCAAAAAAGTGGCAAACCAATAAATTGCTCTTTCTACTATTGAGCAAATTGCTACTTTTCAGAGGAGCAATTTACCGCTTAACGAATGAGCAACCCCGCGATGGAGCAAATTTTTGCTGTTCTACAATCGGAAGAAGGAATTGAAATTTCGCACGCGAGAGTCGAACCTTGGTGGGTTGTTGGTGATTGTGTTGAGCATTGCATTATAGTTTCGAAGTCTCTGAGTGGTGACTATTTTGCAAAGTTCTTTGGTTCTGTCGATATAGATAAGTATAGTTGCAGCACTGGGAGAATGATGGATGGACTATTGTAAGTGGTAGTAGGTCGTTAGTAAAGACTTACATTCGTTAAGGGTTCGTTGGATTCTCTTATTTTCCACATCATTGCAGTTCGCACATGGTCACAGAAGGACCAGGGAGAGGATTTGTGTTTACGTGGTAGCTCGTATTGGGCGGAATCACTCGTACTGAGTGATCCGAGATCACTTATTTGGATCAACACGGATCACTCATCTGCAGTGCAGTGCTGTATTGCAGGCACCCCAGTGGTGCCCATGCGAGATGTCGTGGCTTTCATACTCGCACCCTGATCCCTACGTGGCCTATTGCATGCGAACAAATATGCTCTTCCGTAGTCTGAGCAGATACTGGTCATTGCAGAAAGATGCCCCTCGCGAAAATCGAAATTATCGAGGAAAGAGGCAGGCTGGCTTAGCAGTGCTAAGTTAGCACTCTGCATCTACCCGGCGCTGAACAAGTTCTCCCGAGGTACCAGATGTGAGGAGATAGTGCGAAAGAACTCGCCTAACAACAACGCTATTTTATTGGTGGAGGAGTATGAGAGCCACGCGGCAAAAGAATTGCAGCAGAAGCGGTCGAAAGAGGACGAGCGTGAGGAATCGAAGTAGTTTCTCCCATCACTGGAGACTAGCGACCATGTACGCACTCGCAGTAAGGTAGGCACCTCAGTGGTGCTCAGCTGTTGTAGCTGCTACAAGTAGCTGTCTCGGTGATTGGTAGAGAAAAATTGAACGTTTCTCAATATGCTTCTCTTGTAACCCTTAATAGTATCTCTATGAAGTCCCTCTAGTGGTGCCCAGGAGCGAATATTGTGTGCGGGGGGCTATAGAGTTCATACTCAGTAATTTAGTCCGTGTTGCGTTTCCCCTGAACAATCCTTCGACACCCCTGCAAAGTCCATAACAATAGCTCCACGAAGACGCTCCGATGAGTGCCACTGCCCATGAGCAAATGTTTCTCGTGCAGAATGTCAAAGTTGCCCGTAATACTTACGTAATGCCTACTTGAGGGTTTAACTTCTGGGTATTGTTGAGTCGTCAATACGTACAATCGTACCAAACCATGAGACACAACTGATACGATGCAAAAAGAGAGAGGATACTCGAAGATGGGGACTCAATTCAACTATTATCTCATCTGATTCAATCGCGACGTGCAAGAGCAATCATGTGATTGGTATTCAGCATTGATCATAACTCGCGCTGTCTTCGGAGTGAATGATATATCTCACTAGAGTGCTATCACGCTTTGACCCGATACTAAGTGACTCACTTGGAGTGAGACACAAAGTGTGACACCTTTGATAGATAAGATACTTACTAAGTGCACAGGCCCTGTGCCACAGGGCATGAACATGTTCTGGAGCATAAGATATAAGGCGTAATACCGTAATCGAACGAGAAACGCTATCCCATAACTATGTTTGCTCGATTGTATATTACTCGTACGAGTAATGCAAAATGACAAGTTTGCTAATAACGCTAACAGAGACGCAGTTTGAGCGAGTGAGCAAAACGCTAGTATATGTTCCCGCAGGGCGTAAGCTACAAGAGAGCAAATAGCCGAAACATAAAAGTAGCGCAGCGTTGTCACATACCGGCAACTGCCAATTTGTATATTTCATGCAGGAACATCACATAAGGGCAAACCTTGAAAAATGCCAGACTATATAATTACAACGCAAAACATATCAAACAGCAAATGAGCACAACTTGGCAGAATAACGAAAACGTGCGGGCGAAGCACACTTGGGCAAAAGTGCCAGCGTGTAAAACATTCCGGGGAAATGTACAATGCAGCAAAAAAAGAGCAAAAAAGAGCGACTTGCTGGAAAACACTTTTGGATTTGCTACTTTCAACATTGGGTTGCTAAAACCTATACCAGAAATTGCTAAGTTGTAAATGTGGTTGCTACTTTGTAACTGAGAAAGCAGCACATACAAAAGAGCAAAAAAGTGAGACTGTCAGAAATTATGGCATTTGGCAAATCCGCAATATTAGCAAAAAGTTGCGATTGCCGGATTGTATTACACCGAGGAGCGGATAGTCATCTTGCACGAATGTGAATAAACTGCGGGAAGTGCGGAGCTAGTCTGGACCTGTGAGGGCCTATGCTGACGCCATAAGCCGGTGCTAACTGGGCAACCTGTTTGAGCACTAGCGAGTCCAATGATGTTCGTTCGCTGTAGCTGAACAACAGTGCGCCCGGTGTCTATCTGCCCAATCGTTTCACAAGATACTGCATCATATACAGTGTGGTGCGCGCTGCGTTCTCAGCCACTCTTTTTCCGAGAAGTTTGGTCGACTTCTCGCAAGCATCGTTTCGACCGATTGGACATCTCCTGGTTCGGGTCTGCGGCTCGTTCTGATTGCCAAGGCGAATGTGATGATCATGCAGAGCAATCGCTCGTCGCCGCTCACTATCAACGCTTAGGGGAATATATTTCAGATTACAACGGGTTGTGTAACCTGCAGCGATCGGGCTTCGTGTACGTCTTCTAACTCGGCGTGGCTGTAGGGCACAGTTCATGACTCCTCATCGGGTCATACTGGAACTTCCTCGTTGTCCAATCCATCTGAAACCGCTGTCAAGGCATAACCTCAAAATAATTACTCAGCTGAATAAACCTTATTGGCTGAGCGGCTGGGCATTTACACAGCACCACAGTTGGCTTGATTCCCATAGGAAGCTACGCGAGTAACAAGCTCGCCCTCCGATTGCATCCACCCTGATGTTTGGTCGGTGTCACACATATCAAGCTTGATGAGAACACATTGAGCTGCCAAGGATACATCAAAAGTTGTAGGATATCCAACCTCTGTATTTGAGCTCACTATCAACAAGATTGGCAGTGTATCAGCAATCGGAATTCAGACCCTAGGGGATCAACATGAGCTCATGCTATTAGCATGATGCTAGTGCGTAAGCGAGTGCACCCACCGCTGTCAGTCTGGCGCGGCTTGCCCGCCTTCGCTCGTCTGTCTCGAACGCTCAGATAGCTCTGGTGCACTCCAGATAGGTTTCATATTTGAGTGTATCGTCGATGCTCTCGTGATGTTGGGGCGCAACGTATCCTTCAACGCAACTCGGGCAGATAAACACTTATACACTCGTTATCAAGGCATCCTGCAGTGGCCAGGATTGTATTAAGATGCACTCCGGGACATTACAAAGCTTCATTAACCTAAATCGGCTACACAATCGGACTGAGAGTAGTCTCGGAATCGGTCGTCTCCACAGTAGTAGCAGCGACCTCATCGGTCACAGCAGCTGTGCTGACCGGCAGAGGGGACGTTACAGTAGTAGGCTCAACAGGAGCATCGATCGTAGTCGTGACAGTCGCAGCCTCCGTAGCGACCTGGGAGGTAGAATCAGAATCATCCTTGTCTCTACCGGGAGCTTCTCCAGCTGCCGTGCTGATGGTCACTTCGCCAGTCACAGGAGCTGGAGTAGTGACAGCAACCTCATCGGTCACAGCAGCTGTGCTGACCGGTAGAGGGGACGTTATAGTAGTAGGCTCAACAGAAACACTGATCGTAGTAGTGATAGTCGCA